AACGTAGGCGCTGGGCAGTGCCCCTCTTCTGCTTTACTTAAAGACAACTGACTACAAGGGTGGAATTTATTGGTCTTACGCTGTCATCTCATCCCTAGCATGGAGAGTAAGAAATCTCTAGCACCGTAAGCAGCCATTCCCTGACTCATTTCAAGTGGTGTAAGAGTGCATGTGCATATATCGCTTCCCCGTATGCATTTCTGTGCGCGTGTGCGCGGCCGAGGGCACAGCCACGGCGAGGGAGGACAGGAACGCGGCGGGACGGGACTGGAGGGACCTCATGGGACAGGCTCCGCAGAGCCGGGGCCAGGCGGTCACGCTGGGCCAAGCAAAGTCAAGCAAGCTGAAGTTTACATTTGAAAAGGAGCAGCGATACCGACCTACCCCCGAGGTAGGATGCATGCAATCGTGAGCTGCCACCGTCCCTGGAAGGTCAACTCAAAGGCAACCCCACATCTGGGTTAAAGCAAGGTTATTTAATGACTCAAAAATAATAAGACAAGGAATAGGCTCAGTCCACAAGCAGTCGGAGGGGCCAGCATCCTTGAAAGCACCGATCTCCAGATGGAGCCGAGCACCTTGCTGGAAGGGATAACGCGGGCGCGGAGCTTTAGTTTGGGACACGAGGCCGGTCGTGCCCGCTGTGGCACAGCTTTGCTCATCGCCTGGCTGCCGGTGCCAACTGGGAACTCATTTAGCTTCAGCTTCTCTCTCTTGCTCAGATCAGAGGCCCTGCTCCAGGAGAGCTCTCTGCAAGGCGTACGCATGCACAGAATAAATCATCACCATCTCGTCTTTCCTCCCTCGCACAACGGCAAACGCTCCGTCAGTTGGTACCCGGGCAGGGATGCTGCCGGCCGCCTCGAGGATGCTCTCCCTACCGGGCACGAAGTCTCGCGTTCATGAGCTGCTGCAAAAACACGGCCGCTAACTGTCGCTACAGAGCCTGAATCATAAACGTCTACGGGAGTCAATGAAGAACCTCCAGCCCTGCCATAAGGAAGGTGGCCCCAGGAGCTGGGGGGGTTCCGCGCCGTGTCCGCGATGCGGTACGTGGGAATGGTCCGGGAATGAGGGAGGCTGGGACGGTAAGGATGGTAATGAGGATACTTAATTAGTATCAGTTGAGGCATGAAGTATGCTGCTGCACACAACCATTAGCAACCCTGGGAGATGGGAAGGCATGGAACAACCGTGATCCTGGACCGTACCCTGCGCTGCCGGTTGGGCACGGCACCGCCTCAGCCGCTGGCACCGGGCAAAGCAATCACACATTTCCCTGATAGCGTCCAGTGGCACCGGACGAATGTCAAGCTCCCCAACGTCCCTACTACATCCATCTGCACCGGGCAAACGCCGCTCTGCCACACCTACAGCCTGGGGCCCGACGGATGGGGTCGTTCCCTTGGCACGCCGCGTCTCGGCGGCAGCACCAGAGCCACTCCCCTGGCGTCGCCGATGCAAAACTCTCCCCGCGCATCCCCGCTCCTCCGACGCGGGAGCTTACCCTGCGGTAACCCGTTTTCCAGCCGCAGCCGCTGTCCCTCACCGCACGGACCCGACCCAGGTGAGAAAAATGAGTTCCCCGGTGCTCACACCCGCGTGAGCACCGCCTGCCGGGCCGCTCTCCTCTGCGTTTCCCCACGGGATTTTTTTTTTGCCAGCCAAAGCTATTGCAAGAATAAGTCCCCGTCAGCGATGCGGGCTGGTCTGCGAGGGGGGGCAGAGCAGGCGCGGGCCCTACGCTGGCAGATCCAGGCAGGGACCGAGCCCAGAGGCTCAGGAGGTGTTTGGGGAGGCCGGCTCTAACCAGCACACCCTCCTCCTCCTCCGGCACACGCCAAACCTCGCAGCCCCTCTGCCCCCCCCTGGGGAACAGCCTGGCCCCCTTCACGCGAGGAGGTCAGGGTTAACACTTCAATTCTCTGCACCAGCACCAAAGCATCACCTCTCTTCCACCTCTCAGCCCTTCCTTCTCCTCCCCGCACGGGTCGCAGCCCGTCCCCGCTCTCGCCGCCCTGCCCGCAGGACTCAGGTGCCTCCAGCTCCCGACTCCGCGATTTTCCAGCTGCTCTCTGGTCCGGCGTCCGACCCCGCTGGCACCCTGCCTCCACCCGGCCCAGCCTCCCGCTCCTTCTGAGCCCCAAGGAGCGAGGGAAAACGCTCGTTTCTCTTGTTTTAAACCCCTGCTCGTGAGCACAACATTTCTGATAATAATAATCATCATAATCATCATAATCATCATAATCATAGTACTAAAAACAGTATTTACAACAAGCTCCAGGTCAGAATTACACACCAAGCAAACACTCAGCACCACAGAGAGCAGGACAGGGTTAATATCTCGCAGATACCTTCTCAGATCCCACCGACGCGGGACACAGACATTTGACAGTTTCAACCATTTCTTACACACAAACATTTCGTTTAAATTACTTTTCAATTTTTTTTTTTGTCTTTTTTTTTTTTTTTTTTTAAACTTTTTAAAATTTCTCGTCACTATATGAATGAGGCGATGCTGGCGGTGATGCCGCGCTCTACACAGATGCTTATCTAAGACAGCTGCTACTATAAACTGATCATTAGCTACTGTTAAGAAATTCAACCCTCAGTTGCCTTCCTCTTTGCCCCAAATCTTATGGTTTTTGTCGCTGGGCAGCGCTGGGGCTTCCTAACAGCCCTGCCCTCGCCCCGGGCCGGGTGGGGGGGCTTGCGGTAAGGTAGCCCGTCCTTGTAGGAGCAGAGCGTCCCCTAACATCAAACCGTGGCCGTCAAGGGATTTCTCCCAAATCCTGCTGGGACTTCTGGGGAGATGAGCAAAGAGCCCCGGGATTTGACCTCCAGCAGCTGCTGCTCTTTGGCTTTCCGCGGGGTTTCTGCGACCGCCTGATGCTCACCCCAGGCCGTAATCAATTCTTTACCTAATTAAAGCACCGGGTAGATGGAAAAGCTTCAGCTTCCGGCAAGCCTCGGTGATGATTTCCTTTTCAGAGGGGGGGAGAGGGGAGGGGATCGTTGCTCCCCGTGCAAACCCCTCGTCTGCTCTAGCTCCTCGTTGCTGGCTGGTGGGGAGGGGGGGCCCCGGAGCCCCGGGCTGGGCTGGGCCCCTGCCCCACTCCGGGCTGCCCGTGCCCACGGCTGCACCCCCTCTGAGCTTAAATTATTCCCCAAGGATCCTGCAACGCCGGCCGCAGGAGTCCCTCCTCCACCCCCAGAACGGCTCCTGGGAGGCACAGCGTGCAGAGGACACCAATTACCAGTAATTAAACATCTCGGTGCCTTGGGTGCCCCTTTGGTTTATTCTGGGGCCTGAGAGGGCAGCCAGGGCGGAGGGGCCATGGGTGTAAATGCACCCTGCGCTGCTCACCCCCCTGCCATCTCCCCAAACCGCTGCAGGGGGCTGTTAAAAAAAACCCTAACAGCCCAGTGATCCTTAAGCACCGGACGGAGGGGAATTTTTGTTACCTTCTTGCCCCAAAGAAAGCAGCTCCCTCCCACCGTCACCTCTGCAAAGCCTTGCCGCAGGAGCGTGCTCCTGCAGGGCTGCATCCCCAGCACCACGTCCTACGAGGCCCCGTGGCCGTGCCCTGCCCTTCGGATGCGACATTCCCACTGAGTTTTTTCAAGGCTGAAGCAGAGCTGGGGCAAGGCGAGCGGGTCTGCGGATGGCAGCAGGAGGGCGGCAGCCCCTCGCAGGGCACGGTGGCTGCGTGCACCTTGGCTACCTCCGTAAGCCGTGACTCCAGAAGATTAGGAAGCCGTGGGCTTTGACAGCCACCTATTTGGATCAGACGTTACTGCCATGCTGGCACGCTCTCTGCTCATCCCTCCCTCCATCACGAGACTTTTTGTTGCTTAAAAATAGGCCTGGAAAGCTAAAAAGAGACAAGGAATGAGCATGGGGAGATCGCTTCACCCTTACCGCAGAATTGCTCCCCTCTTAGCTCCTTCTCATCCAAAGCCGCCGGTCTGGAGGCACCAGGCAGGCAGCTGGGGTGCCCGAGCCAGGGCTCTGGGGCTCATCTGGCAATCTCTGCTCTCAGCGTCTGCCCTGTAATGGCACCGAAGAGTCACATCCGTCTTTGGAAAGAGGGAAGGATGATTATTCTGTTCGCTAAAAGGCTATTTCACAAGCACGCACCGTCTCTACTCGATTTTCTTTCTTACCGGAGCGAAACCTCCTGCTTTGGGAGCGCTGGAGAGCCCGCGGACCGAGCGCCCTCTCCCAGGGCTCCCGCGGAGCTGGGGCGGCAGCCGCCCTCTCCGCTTCTCCCAGGCGGCTCGGCCAAGACCTCTCGGTCCCCGCTCTGCCGGGGAGAAGGCAGCTCAGTCTACGGGCTCCTCCAGCCCGTGGCCAACCCGGGCATCAGGCGGTGCCTGCCGTAACGGGGACGTTCCGTGACAAGGTGCTGAGCTCTGCGTGGAGACCCTCGCACGGGCTGCCAAAGAACCACCCAAAGATGAGGATGTTGGGTCACTGCCTGCCCGGGCTGGCTCCAGACACGGGCAAGAGATGGGGGGGTCTGCACGCCACGACTCCTGAGCCGTCCCATCCCTCTCTCGTTCCTCTCTCCTACCACTGGCAAACACGGGGCCGTTCCCTATTCCACTTCACACACAGAAATTATCACTTCCCGTTATTCTGAAACTGATATTTGGCTCAGAGCAAACACCAAGAGGAGTAAAAGCCCCGGATAAGAAATCCGTATCTCTGTGACACTGCTGGTTGAATTTATTAATATCTTAATTTTTTTTTTTTTTACATCCGTTTAAGAAATGTTTTTTTTAAAAAAGGACAAAACCCTCCAAAGAAGCTGCTGGATTGACTGATCAGTTCCCTATTTCATGTGAACTACGCGCTATTCTGCTTAGAGGTCCCTATGATCTGTGACTCCCCACAAGCACTGACGATTAAGGATGCAGAGATAGAGAAGCGTGTAGCTGGGGGACGAACACCGGGGGGGGGCGGGGGGGGATGGAGAACCGAACGTTGCATCTAGACAAACAAAATAAAATGTGTCGGTTGGTCGATTGGTCGGTTTGTTAACAGGAATCAGGTGCTAGATGTGTAGAAAAGCCCTTTATCCAGAGATCTCCTCCCGCTGTTCCTTGTTCCTGCGAACTTCAGCTGCATGCAGTTCCTGCAAGGACGGGAGAGACAACACCAGGCTAACCCTTTCTGCTCCTCCAGGCTCTGCTTTCCCTCTCTCCTGCACACAGGATTTGCACCAGGCAAAAAAAAATAAGAAATAAAGAGACCAGTTTCCCATCCGACAGAGCCCGAGGGCAAGTGGGTTACGCCTGCAAGGAGCAAAGCATCTCATCTGCGGGAGCCTGGCGGCGATGCAAACCTCCGGCGAGCGCAGTCACCACCCCCCTCTTCTGCAAAGCCCTTCGGCCTCGCAGCCCCTGGACATGGAGTGGGCCTGATCCTGCACCTTCGAGCTTGCACTTCTCAAGCTCCGCCGGATGGTATTTTCTCTACGGACCTTGAAGGACACAGCCCCCCCTCCTCCTGCTGCTCCGGAGCGGAGCTGCTCCGCAACCCACTTCCCACCAGCAACCCAACGCCCCCTCCCCC